TATTCCGGTCCGACGCGAGCACGCAGTCTCTTCTGGATCGTAAAAGAAAAAAAATAGAATTAAAGTCGTTGGAATACCGGTGGTCCGCGACCGTTGCAGGATCTTTAAAATGTAGAATCGTGAGTTATACGGGTCCCCGAGGGGCGTGCAACACTGAGGGAATAATGCATAAACTGTCGTCATTGGGTGTCGATCGCAGGTGGCGAGTTCCAACGAACCTATCCATCTCGTTCCGCGAAGCAACGTCCTTTGCGTCTCATTGTCGCTTTAATATTCGAACAAGCACGCGTCGGAGCGAACGCTTACCACCGATTCCGACTATCGATTTCACGGCTATAAAGCCGCTGGTAATGGGAATTGCTTCTGAAGTAGTTTCCCTTGGAGCCACCTACGCCTTTCGTATCTCCATTTCTCATCGTATTGTGCGCGCGAGCTCCGGTGGAAAGTCTCAGCGAAACAAACGCGCCGAGGGCGTACCGAAAGTTTTCTAATCTACGTAACCGCGTCGTATCGAGCAAGAACGATTCCGTTAAATTAATAACGGATTACCGTCGATCCCGTTCACCGTGTTCCCGGAACGACCAGAGGCTGGCCGGATAAATTATGGTCGGACGTATAGAGGTCCCGGGGACCCGTGGATCCGGACGATCCATTTTTCATCGGGATTCGAACTTTGAGAGACGATTCGATATACCGGCGCGATCCGGGATAAATTTCCTTGCAATTTCAATACGGGATCATTCCCCTTGTAGACGCAACCCCTCCCCCCGTTCACCGGGGGCTCGTGTATACATTGCAGAGCCGGCAAGGGTCGGGGGGATAAGACGAGTGGATGGGAGCCTCGCCGGATATTAAAAATATCTTCCGTCGGCAACGGACAGCGATCGACTTCCGGTTTATCCGTTTTAGTCTATTTTCAAGGCGTCCCGAGAGCTCGATTGGTTGCTCTCCAGCCATGAAATGTCCCCGCTTCTCTATCCGTTCCTCGTTCGTTCGCTTTCCGTGCTCTGGAACGACGCCGCGCGTTCAATCCTCGAGCCGGTCGCAATTTTCTTACGTATTTCGCCATTCAACGGAATTTATTAAGGCACAAATTGCTCGCGAGAACCGAACACCCTGGAAATTGTTTGCGGATTTAGCCAGACCTTTACACGCTGGCCTCCGCTCCTGGGGAACGTTTATTCGAATTTGCGTTCTAAAGGGAATTTTAAAACAGCGGTCGCTTTACTCCACTTTTTGTTCCGCGGGAGTTAATCGATCTGGCAAACGAGCGGCTCAATTAATTATCTCCGTTTATCCGTCGAGCACTCGTAACTCGTTTCAGAAACGATACCTTTATCGCGTGTCAATCAGCTGTACGGTCAGTCGTGTTTTCCATATTCAATTATCCTAATGCGTTCTCGTAAAAAATGACACGGCTCCACACGTTTTACGTTGTAAATTTCATGCTCTGAACGAACAGACAGTTTCCGGTATATTTTTCACCGTTTAAACACCACAAATACCCTGGTATTCTGGTTCCTAATTCTGGAAATATTGGACACTTTTTATGTAGAAGTCGAATCTTCGGTTCGTTGCTTAGGAATTTTTTTGCCCAGAGTTTTCCTAGTTTCCGTCGAGTGGAAACGGTTCAAAGAGCGGGTCGACGACAGTCGGTCTCGAAAACGTGGAAAATTATCACGCTGGCTCCGCGACGCGTGATCGCGCGTGTGTCGAACGTGCGAGCGCTGGGAAATTGCGATGCGGTTCCGGTTAGTTCGCGACCGCCTCGACCACTCGCGAAATTTCAAATGTTCAACAAAGCTGGGGCACGGCGAAAAATACGAGGGAATTGGTGAAAAGTCCGCGGCGAGTTCGCAATTTGGTTGATCGGTAAATTCCGCGTTCGTTCCCCGACATACGGGAAAATATCGAACACGGTTTTCTGCTTCTAATTCCTCCTCGATGGGGTTTCGCGAACATTTTCGACTCGTGGTTCGCTTTCAGTTATTATTCGTCCCCGAAATTCCCTTGGTAATTCCTACTAGCGGTCGACAATTTAATTCAGTTCCTTCAGAATTTATGAAAAAGCTGTGAAAAACAGTGTTGTTTTATCTATCGTCGAGTAAAGCGTACGCCCGCGGATGTCGTTGATCGGAGGGAAGGAAGGGATAGATTTTAGGGTGGTTTCCGTTCTTTTGGGCAACTTAGATCGATCGCGAAACGAGATGCGTGGGCGGGCAAACGACCGATAATCGGATCCGGTGGAACGTTGGCCCATGAAAATCCACGATGACGCGAGGGGAAATCGAATTGGACGGAAATCGGGGCGCAAACAGTCGATTCGCTTACACCAACCCGTGTAATTATTAATAATGCGACGAGTCGCGGAGCAGACGGATGGCTGTTTGCCGGCAAACGGGATTGGTTGCGCGGAACGTGCATTACGGCCACGGTGTCCGTGGCTTATCAATGGACATCGTTGATATTGCGTCCGTTTGATAAACGAGATCCGTTCGACGTATGACTCTCGTTCGGAAAGAATTGGCAGATGCTCCGCTATCGGGCGAATAGGTGAATCGGATTGAAAAGCTTCGAGATGAATAGGGGGGGCATTGATTTTATGTCGCTGGTAACCCATTTGGATATTAGAGATCTAAGGAAGCGAAACTTCCGACGCTCGATGCCATTAAGATCGTCTGTGGCCGTCTCGCTTTTACGATACCATGATTACGAGTCTGCTCGATGTATCCTAAATCTGAAATCTCTTGAATTTAGGAGACTCACGACCTTCTCTTTGGACTGTTTTACCCACCACGAACGGTCATTTAATCGTTTGGTATCAAATTCTGGTTGGCTTATTGTTAAAGTTATATCAATAAACGTGGTTTAATAGTAATAAATGAGTCTTCTCGCCAGTTAGTCAAACAGCAACCGATCGTGGACAAAAGACGATCGTCCACACACATTCTATACGGAGAATATAGATTTTCTTTTATTATTTCAACACTTATGCACATAGGAAATATATACCAAATATGAAAAGACAGAATCTTCAGTGTCCACTGTCTTAGAACAGTCTAACAATGCGTATTAAGAATAGTTAAACTTTACACACTTGCAGTTCCGAAACTACTAGTGTTTTATTAATAATTGAGCCACTGTTAGAAGGGGCAGGGCCTCCCCTTTAAAATGGCTTTTGGTTTTTGACGATCCGACTTTCCGTTTTCGAGATATCGCAATTTATGTAAAAGGTAATTTTTCTTAATTCGACTATCTCTGTCTCCGTCTAGCGCGTCGGACCTCCTTGTCGCACGTGCGTGGCGCTGACCTACCTCACGTACGTGACTGTCGTGACCTAGTTCCGCGTAGTGTTTCCAAGAATTTACTACGCGCTACTACTTACGCGCGCGCGGTCATTCATCGCGTCAATGAAACGTAAACAAACGCTTCGGACCCTTCTATCTCCGGAACTAGTCACCGCATCGACTTGAAACTAAAATCGATATATCTCCGGAACTAATAAAGCTATCGACTCGTACAAACGCTCATTTTAAAGGGCATTTCATCCCCTATCCAATGACTATACCAACTATTATAATTTTTGCTATCTTCCATGTTTATTTTGACATTTACTTTGATGCTATATATCCAATGAAGATTCAGCAATTCCTATTGATCGTACGACCACTGTATAATAAAACTGGATCATAAATTGTTTATTTAATTGAAAATTAATGTAAATTTGTATACAGGATGTCAACGTAATTACTATGCCAGCACTTTGCAATAAATAATTATTTTAACGACGTTTTGTCCTCTATCCGATGAAAATTATGAAATTTGAAGTAAGTATGCAGAGTCTGTGGAGGCGCAGTCCTGGACCTGTTGGGGAAACTTGGGGTACGTTCGAAAGATAGAAATGTCATGGAAGCAACGAAACGTTTACGGGGCGATCGTTTCTCGGTGCATTTACGACGTCCACGGGCCCCCCCCCGGGTTGCTTGTAAATTCCGTGAGCGACGATCGAGGATCGAAAAGCAGAGTCGAAAGGCTGGCCGGGGCTCGTAAATCGCCGCGGGGCCGGATCTCCGGTTTCGCATCGAGGCGTCGTAGATACGGTACCGCGGTCACGTACCGACCGTTTCAAAATCCAATTTGTCGTTGATGTTTCGACGTCGATGCGGCACCGTCGCGATTACATACAGGACGAACTCGTTAAAGTTCGAAGGAACACGGGCCTTGGCGGTCGTGGGGGGAGAGGGGGGGGGGCGCGTTGCGAACGGAGCCACGGACCAGGGGAAACGAAACGCTACAGTCGGGGAATAGTCTGCAATCCTGACGCTAGCTAACCGAAATACTGAAACATGTAGCGCACGACCGAGGGGGTGGAAGAGTAACCAGCACCCCCGGGCGAACGGCAAATTCGCTGGGTACCCGTAAAAACCGCTCGTAAAGCCGAGATACGTTCTCGAGGAGAAAACGTGGCTTAATATCGAACCGATCAGGGGAATATTGATCGATCCGGGGCCTCGTTCTGCCGCTAAATTTCCGCTCCCGTTCGGCTCTCATTACCGAAAGTACCGCCGGGGATCGATGGACCAGGATACACGAGGGAGATGGAATTACGCATTTCGAATTTCTCGGTAATTTTTAGCCGAGCTCGAAACGTGCTCGAGGAACCTTTCGGAGAATCCGGGCTTCGATGTTGCAAAGGCTGTTACAGAACCGGAAATTCTGGATCCTTTCCAGTCTTACTTCCCGAACGCATTCAGGTCTTATTCGCGAACGAAATTGCATCGGGCTCGCCCCGATACGCATTGTGGATTCGAAATATCGTTTTCCACTTTTGCAAAAATATGAACGTGCCCGCGTAACCGGGGGTTAAAAATCACAAAGCGATTCCAGTAGCCGTGCCAGGATATTATTAGAAACGAATTACGAGACGCGGAACAGATTTCCCGTCCCGTGCAGAAACTTCCTGCCCGTCGTCGATTCACCGTTCGATCCGTCTGTTCCAGTGAAATATCTGAGGGAGGTGACGCCGTACTTCAGGAAGGCTTCGATCATCCAGGAAGTCGGCTGGGAGCTGCAGCGCGGCTTCCTCAGCGCGACGCCTCCGCCGCCCAAGTCACCACCGCGAGCGGATACTCGTTATCTGCCGCTGCAACTCTGCAGACTCACCAGGGCTCATCCTTCCTCCGATACCGGTGAGTTCTCTCCAGAAATATCACGCTATCACGCTGTCGGAACTCACGACGCAACGCGTAATTAAAAAATACGAGCAGATACTTTGCTCTTACGAATTCTGTACGGTCGCGTCAATTGAGTTCATTCTAGCATCTTAGTACGTTCGCGAAATTTGCAATGTGATGCATTCAATTCTATGTAGTTTTTATTTTTTGAAATTGTTATGCATCTCTAATGGTAACAGCTAACTGGTTCATTCAGCGCATTGCGTAACGAAGTACAGACAAAAATAGTATAGGGCAAACGAGTGTTAACGAGTAGTGTTGACGTTTCTTTGGAAAATTGTTTCTGTACCTTGCATTTTCCAAGAAGGATTACCAAAATGTCCAGTGACTCACGGACTCGTCGTGTTTCGAAGTATCGGATCGTACGAATCAATTTTGAAAAGGCTCGAAAGGGTCGCGGAGCAGGCTTGGCGCGTTAATTAAGGTCTTTTCCCGTGAAAAGGGAGCAACAAGCTGACGGGTGTTTCGCGATATCCATCTTTTGGCCTTTTCCCCGTCCGCTTTGAGGCGTGTACGCGCGCCGGTTCGAGGCCCCGGCTCGGTTTTGAAATAACAGGGAAGCTCGGGCTGACCGTAAAAAGAACCCGGGTCCAGGCGAGCGTGGCGCGGCGCGTCGCGACGCCCCGGCGTCGGGGAAACGAAATAAGCGGCCGAGGGGAATTTCTCTTGCCCCGGCACGTTTAGAAGTAAACGTTTCAGCGGAACGTTCCCGGATTACGTGCACGGCGCGGCGTTTCTCGTGGGTGGCGGAGAACCGTGTGCGCGCTCCTCTCGAGAACTGCGTGCTCAGCGACCGAGATAATGACAGCCATAACGCAATTAACCCGTTTCTGGGATTACAGTCGAACGACCGTGCGCACGATGTGCCGCGAGTTTGACAGTCAATTATCGTTTAATGGAACGCGTTGCCGTGTGCGCGCGTGGGCGGGTGAGAGGGGAAGGGGGGACGCCTCGAAAATATTCCGTCGCGATTGCTCGCGTCGAACCGCGTCACGGGCAATCGTGCGCGCGACTATCAGAAATTCAACGGCGATAATCGATTTCGAGCGATAGAATCCCCTCGGTCGAAAGTTAATGAACGAAATCCATTGTTCCGCGGGACCGTTTCATTCTAGGGATTAATTTGAAATTACAAGCAAGCGAGACGAGCACCTTTCGAATTAATAATCATTTATTTACGGGTGGAAGGGGTGGCTTGGAAAACGCGATTCCACGGGCCCGGTCTCGTCTTTGTTCCTCTCCCATTCGTCACCTTTTTACGCTGCTAAATAATTCAAATTCCTCCGACGACATCTTCGGTCCAAGGCAATTTGTGCACGCCTAACTTCCGGGGGGTGGCGACGCGAGTTCTCGAAAACTGAAAGACAATCGCGAAGGAACCCGGTTCGCGTGCATAAGTGGCGAGGTGGTAAGTGGCTCTGCGGTTGAATGGATCTAGTTTTCATCGAGATGCCGCCTTTGTCCTCTTTGCTCGCGGGACACTGACAAAGAAAGGGTTAGAAAAGAATGTCCCTCGTCCCCGGGATCCACCGTCGAGTTAATGAAAGGCTAATGGGCTCTTAATCCCGTAGAGCCGGTCCCCGTCGTTCGCTCCCCTCGAATCGTCAACCCTCTGACGTTTCTTTCCCGACGTCCCTCCGCCCCGTTTTCCGTCATCGGTATCTCTGTTCGCGTTCTTCCGAAACTACGGATCCCCCTGCCCCTTCTCGCCAGAACCTCTTACACTGCGGTTCTTTCGCGCGACCATCCGACATTTCCTAAATAAACCCTTCCCCTCGCTCTCGGAATTCTTTTTCTTCTCGGACAATTCATTCAGTGGCTGAATGATATTTTGGACAATTCGTATTTTGCATCACCTTTCGAAGATCGTAATTAATTAGTCGGAACGTAATTGGAAATTCAGAACGGGATCCTTATTAAATTCTGCTCGAATCCCTTTCGAAGATAATTATAACGTTTCGTAATAGCACGTTCGAGCAGTTTTCAATTAATATCATCGCGAACAAATATCACCCATTTAATTTCATTATTTACGCAAATAAACGAAGTACGTTTTCGAGCAGGTGATAGCGATTTCATTAATTCCTCTGACATTTCAACTCTCCTCCGTTCGAAGTATACAAATGTTATTTAAAGGGTGTACAGGTTCGTTATATGTTTTAAGAGGAATGATTCCGAATTTCGATGTTAAAACGTTACCCGGAATCTGAGACTCGTACACGCGGCAAGGAACAAGATTGCGACCGAGACTGTCGGCTAATTCGAAAATTCTATTAATGGCGGCCGGCTATGAGGAAGCCACGTTCCGTGCTCGAGGTACGGGAATGCAATTAAGAATGATCCTGTGTTTACACCGTTGGCGTGTCCACGGTCGAGAGATCAGAACCGACTGTTCGGCTCCCAGCGGGAGTTCGTTTCGCCGGAACGTATCAAGGATGCATCAGCGGATATTTTATGGACGCGGTAGACGGGCAGAGCTCTCGCAACGGCGAACGAAACGCGGTTTAAGTTCGCCGGGAACGAGAAAACGAAGTTGCCCCGTTGACCGTGGGCAAACACGGAATCGACGATGGCCAGGTTCTCTCGACGGTGTCAGAGGGTGAGCGTGAAAAAAGGAATAAGGGTCAGAGGGGGGATATCGGGTATAGTCCGCGGGTCTATTCGGGAATTAAAACGGACCGACGGCCGCGCGAACGGTACAATGAAAATTGGCTAATTGAATTAGCGAGCGGCTGAGAGCGGCCGAATAGATAGAGGCTTCCATAACCCGGAGGCCCGTCAGGTCTAGCTGCCGCGGTTCCATTAAAAGAAAGAGTCCCCGCGACCCACGAACGTTGGGAAGAATGGTCCCGCTCCAGCCAATTAATATCACCTGTTAATTGTACGAATATCGAGGGGCACCGATTGCCCGGTGCTCTCGCGTTAATTTGCGAAATTCTCATCGCCGCGAACGCGTTTCCCGTCGGTTCCATTATCATCTGGCTACGGACGCGCTTCCATACGCTATTTAATGAATCGACGACGCTCGAACGACGAGTTAAAAAGTTATTCGCGAATTTTCGCCTCGTCGCGATGTACGACACGATGACTGTATCAACACCCCTCGATACGATCTAGTACCGTTCGTTCAAAATAATTTACAAAAGTTACGGTTACGATGATTAGACTAATAATAACCGAGGAGAGTCGAAAATGGGAGAGTAATTCCGTCGAACGGAGGATCCTTCTGTCAGGTAAAGCGTAAGAGTACGCAATGAAATTTACTACATCCGCGAGTCATACTTGCGAGGAGAAATGGATCGTAAAAGGGAAAGGCTTCCATAAATTCTCGAAAATAATTTCGAAGACTGTTGCTACATCGAACGATGGGTTTATCTCCGGTACGTGTTCCTGAGAAGATTGGGTGAATTTGTACGTGTTTATGGATTCAGCGGCGACTGGGAAATTGTTTTCCAATACGCGAGGGTTTAGAATCGGACGTGTTAATCGTTTTCGGTCGGTCCAGCCAAAAAGAAGCTTGCGCATTCGCGAGTAGGAGGGGGGAGCGCAACGAGACCTCTAATTAAGGCCCGGAAGTGGTCGACACTCGAGGTAACTCTACGATCGCGACTCCTTTGCATACTTTCTTCCAGCCCTCTCGAATCGACGAGATCGAACGGAAGTTTGGGGCACGTCGATCCGGCGTATTTAGTCTTTCCCGTCGATTCGCCCAGGCAGCCTTCTGCGCGTGTATTCTATTCAGACGCAACGCCCGCGCACAGACAGCCGGCTGGAAATCGGTGAGGGTCGACGTAGGGGCGTCGGGGGGGTTGGAGTCTGGCAGGGGGTAGGTAGGATGGAGGATGCGAGAGTTAAATTAGTTTCCGGGGCAAAAGCTGGCTGCCGCCTGGTTTTCAGGGCTAACCCCGTGTATAATTCCAGAACAGCTCCATCAGGCCGGAACCCACGAAGAACCTTCCATCCAAACCATCCACCATCCACCGCTGACGCCGCCACCACCGCCGCCGTTATCAACCATCCCCTTCCTCCTACCCACCCTCCCCCCTCCACCACCCCCGACCCGTCCTCTTGCGCGTTCGCCTCGCCAGACTTCGCGGGGGCTGCAGTTTGCGAAGTTAATTACCGTCGGATAATTGCGCTCTATATGCCGTCCGTCTGATTAATGAGCCAGGATCACCCCGGTTGTCCTCTTTTGTCCTACCGGCACTCGGACACCGAGCGACGTTCCTCCGTTGATCGCGGTCGGCGAAAGAGTCTGTTCCCGGGCGGTACGTCGTATCCGTTTGTCGACGATCTCGCCCACGGATCGTTACCGTGGTCCGTCGTGTTGACGGATACCGTCTCGATGTCTTTGCCAGATCCGCAACCGCGAAAATTATTCGGTGTAACGAGGACCTCCCGCTTCGTTAGCCGGCAACTTCGTAGATTGCCAGTCTCGGACGGATATACCTCGGAAACCTAATATTTCTGCGGCGCTTCTTGCTACAAACTTCCGTTTCGAAACACTCCGCTTCCTCTTTGCGCGTTGCTTTCCGTATCTTGGAAAATAACGGAGACGAGCTAGGAGAAACAAATGTCAGTCATCTTTCTCCCTGTCTCGCCGCGGTAAACGGTGTATATTAGAAAAGACTATACGCGTGCGATAATATGAAACAATGTTTCTGTTGCAGCGCAACGTGCTTCAGCCTCGAGACCCATAGTAGAATTTCGAGCCCAGCGCAAAGAAAAACCTTGCACGTGCTTGTACAAGGCTACTATAGAAGAATAGCGACACTTGGTTGGCAGAAACCTTCCCAAATTTTGAAAATAACAGCATGTCTTATAACCTAGGCATCCGTTACGCCTTGCATCGATCTCGATCTTCTCTTTCCAAGACCACCCCTTAGTCTCGATCGTCCTTACACTTTCATTCGACAACTTTTTCAAGCCCCAAGTATACAATTCTATCCTTCCAA